TCCTAGAATTCTCCATCCTAGGATATAATATTTGTTGACTGGGTTAGCTCCATTATAGGATATTATATTTGTTGACTAGGTTTAGCTGCCCTGATTGACGATGGTCAGCTTGTATATACAGTTGTGTTACTCCCACCTGGTATTTATCGTTTAAGTGCCGTGGATGGCTGTGAGAAGCAGAACACTGGCAAGTCACTTGCAGTTGTACTGGTGTAACTTCAACAGGACTGAGACACAGGTTTCAGCTGGATCTTACACCATCCCAGGCTGTCAGAAAGCCTCTGTTTTATACAGATAACTTTCTTAGAAAATTTCTAATATTGCAAGAGATGATATCAGAACAGGTCCCCACAAACCAAAGCCTAAGTCGCAGTGACTATTAGAATCAAATACGTCTAGCAACGGTTTTGTATCACTACGCCCAAGTACGGCAGTGAAGTGGTTAACTAGTTTGTCTATAATAGTCTCAGAAAATTCTCTCCACTAACGAATCAACATTATATTTTCACTCCACTAGATTAAGTAAAGAAACAATATCATAAGAAGAACCATTCACTCAAGGATGACAAGTCCAAGATGTGGGCGAGTCCATAATGGCAGGGGTCTTGTTACTGTTCTGTGATGCAGGTGTCTTATGAATCATCATCATGTAGCAGGTCCTTTGCAGAATGACGTCACTATCATCACAGTCTGCCTGAAAGAAACTCAGTCTCTTGCCAGATCTCCATCCTCATGTACTTTCATATTCAAGGAGTAACTTATATCCTGTGCCCATCTTTATGTTGGTTGGCCCCTGTCCCTCCTTCCTGGTACCAAGCCTTCTGCTATTATTTTTTTCCAGTCCGCCATGCTTGATATGAATAAGTTATTGCAGCTTCCGAGACAAGATGGTGTTTATTAGCCAATCTTTCTTGATGTTCAGATATTTTTAAATGTCTTTATTTCTTCTCTTCTTTGTCCATGGTACTCTGAGAATCTTTTTATAACTTTTCAGTTCAAAAACTGCTATTTTCTTTCTTAAGTACTGGGAGATAGTACATGACTCACATCCATATGTGGTTACAGGGAAGACACATGCTCTCAGAAATTTAGTTTTGATTTCCTTGCTGGTGCCTAACCAGAGACTTGTAATGCTGTTTAATCGTTGACTTGCTATGGCCATCCATCTTTTGGTTTCTGTCAAACAGTTTTCACTGCTATTTATTATAGAGCCTAGATATTCAAAGTTTGTGTCCTTTTCAATTTCTTCATCATTTTTTGTTATTTCTGGGTGACAGCCTGTTCAGTCCGTGGACATTATTTTCGTTTTCTTTAAATTTAGGAACACATTTTGATCTTCAGTGTGTTTTTGTACAGACATGATTAAATGTTCTATTCCCTTTACGCTGTTTGAAAGAAGTACTATGTCACCTGCGTAGTGAAGTTCTGGAACAGGTTTGCCATCAATTATATGCAGTTCATAACTGTCACAAGTCTGGTCATTTGTGACATTTCTCATTATGTTTTCTGCATATATGTCTTATAAATAAACTTTATCCATGATGGTCAGTTGATTGTGAATCATCAGAAAGAGGGAGTGTTTAGTGTATTCATGTTCAGGTCATCTTTGGTTTAACTCCCGTACAAAACTAGGGATCAGTTTTTGCAGACCACATTGCTCCGTTCAACCCAGCCATGCCAAAATGGGTGCCATTGATGCAAATCTGGAGGCATGCTACTGACCACATCAGCCATCCAGTGAGGATTTATCTTAAATATATCGGAATATCACGATTATCCCAGAATACCATGGGGCTTGGAAATAGAGTCAGCAACTCTTTTTTTTTCCAAACATGCTGTTTTTATAGCTGTCAGATGAGAACAGGGACAACCTCATCAACTTCAAGGAGTTTGTTGGCACTTTGGGCATCATGTGCAAGTCAGACATCACTTTGAGGATCAAGCTGTTGTACCGTCTTCATTTACCGCCAGCGCTGTTACCCTCAGATCTGATTGATGATGCTACAACTCGAGCAGAAGTTGAAGGTTGGTAGTTTGAGTCTTGTGCACATATTTTTTTTAAATTTTAATGTTATATGAAGCCTTTCTGGACATATAATGGTTCATGAAATCATCATGTCATTGCTCTATGATGGTAGTGAAAGTAAACCTTTTGCAGAGAATATTAACCAGGTTGTGTAATAATAATATGAATTTGGGGTGGGGGTGCAGGTAACAAATCTCCACCTCCATTTCTGACATAAAGCCCTGTTCTAGGCACCAGCCATAGTCTGTCATGATGAAAAACCAAATATGTAGAACAGAACTGTTATCCTCAACCCTTAAATGCTGCTGAATTTACTGACGTAAGGTTCTGAGCACTTGAAGACTGAATGGTTCAGTGTGATGTGCAGTCAGGGTGATCTGTCGACTAACTATGTTATGATTAAAAGCACCTAAAACTTTCCAAACAACACAGAGCACTTATCATCATCCTCAAGTGCCTTGTCGACTAACCTGGGTGATTATGCCTCTCCATAATCTGCAATAAGCAACTGCATGTATCAGTTCATGTGTTGACACCCCTCCATGCTGTGACAAAAGGCTGTCAAGAATCTTCTCACTTTGTCCTTCTTTGTCTCTCTTTCCACAAATTTTCCAGTAGTCACAGCATATTCCAGTTTGTCTCTTTCTGATGTTTGTGATAAGTTGTCTTGAGCTTTCACCTCTTTCAAAACATTTGGGTTGCTCTTTTTGGCTGTCCAAGGAATTTTTAGTACCCTTCTGTAAAACCACATCTCAAAAACAGCCTCAAAAAATTGTTTGGCTTCTTTATTAACTGTCAAGCATTTACAGCCGTTTGTCAAAACTGGCTGTCTATAGCATGCAAGAATTCTTTTCCTAATCTCCCAAAAGAATATGTGTCTTGAGTGGTTTGGTAAATGCACGAAGAAAACACTATGAACTAATAGAAAGTACAATAAAGATGTCTTCAAAGGAATTACTTCACAGGGAGCCCTCTGACTAACCTGCCTCAGAAGTAGATAATGTACATTCTTTCTACATTCTTTGATCAGTTCATGAAAAGCAGAAAAATTAGAGTATGTCTTGACAACAGGAAAGGTAGAGGTTAAAAGAGCCACAGGGAAACCAAGAGAGAAGATGCTGGGCAGTTTGGCTAGGCAGTGAAGTAACTCTATATCAGAAATAGTTGACAACACATGAGCCTGAAGACTGTTAACAGACTTGACTACCAATGCCACGCAATAAAGACCATAAGAATGTGATGAACATAAAGACTTCAGCATGAGACAAATATGTATTATAGGTAGAGTTCACAATGTTGACTATGGTTCTGCAGAATTTCTTCAACAGGTCATGTCTTCAAGTTAGCCTGATTCTACTTTCAGCAGGACAAAACAATAATGCTGAGAAAGAAAACTGATTACCAGATCTTAGTTATACATGATATAAGTGAATTGTATGTTTACCAGATTGTTAGATATATGTGAATTATATCTGTTTACTAGATTGTTAGATATATGTGAATTATATCTGTTTACTAGATTGTTAGATATATATGAATTATATCTGTTTACTAGATTGTTAGATATAAATGAATTATATCTGTTTACTAGATTGTTAGATATATATGAATTATATCTGTTTACTAGATTGTTAGATATATATGAATTATATCTGTTTACTAGATTGTTAGATATATATGAATTATATCTGTTTACTAGATTGTTAGATATATATGAATTATATCTGTTTACTAGATTGTTAGATATATATTCTAATATGCAACATTTGTGGCAATTTTTTGCAGACACTGAAGAGCTGGCTGTTGGTGCTGGTGATTTGCTTGATGAGGCAAACACTACCCCAGATAATGGTCTGTAGCATGGAAGGTTTTGTCTGTATACTTTAACCCTTTTGCCCTGTAAAGCCAATATAATGACTTATGTCACTTGGCTATTTTAATTACTTGTGAATGTTTTAAGTGCTGTCAGTCTATATTTTTTTGTGTGTGTGTGGATCAGTCTCAGCTTCTGTTAGATATAGGACACATGATGGTAACCAGTGTTGCTGCATGATAAGATGTATAAACCAGTTTTAGATATAGCACATGATGGTAACCGGTGTTGCTGCATGATAAGATGTATAAACCAGTTTTAGATATAGCACATATGATGGTAACCGGTGTTGCTGCATGATAAGATGTATAAACCAGTTTTAGATATAGCACATGATGGTAACCGGTGTTGCTGCATGATAAGATGTATAAACCAGTTTTAGATATAGCACATATGATGGTAACCGGTGTTGCTGCATGATAAGATGTATAAATCAGTTTTAGATATAGCACATGATGGTAACCGGTGTTGCTGCATGATAAAATGTATAAACCAGTTTTAGATATAGCACATATGATGGTAACCGGTGTTGCAGCATGATAAGATGTATAAATCAGTTTTAGATATAGCACATGATGGTAACCGGTGTTGCTGCATGATAAGATGTATAAACCAGTTTATTGTAGTCACAGTACACACCCTGTCAAACAGGCTAAATCATAGAAACAGTTGTTAAGCTTATGAACATTGTTGTGTGAATCGTGTAATTATTCCTCTGTGTAATTTTGGGGCCCCCAGTGGGGTGGGGGAGGGGGAAATGGGATAAAAAACAAGAATAGACCTAATACTCCCTAACAAACATGGTGAAAAGTCAGGCATGTTTCCTTAAAAGTTGGAGTACATCTTCCTGAGAGGTAATGAACTAACAGTCTGCATACAAATAAACCAGATGTGTAAAACTAATTTACACACAAAACTTGAGTTCTGAAACAAGACTAAAGTCCAGAATTGAAGGAGAAACCAGAACTTTCTGCTGGAGTTTACAGCCAGTCACTGGAAAGGAGAAGAAGTAAGTATTTTAATAGTGGGATAGTGCTTTGATAATTTGCATGTTGTCATTTACAGTGTACTGTACAAAGTTTTTGTTGTTTTCATCTCAAGATCAATGTAGCCCCACGAATGAAGATGAAATTGTCCCTCGGCCTGTTGAAGTTAAAGTAGATACTTCAGATGTCAGCCCTCGGCCTCCTATGGTGGAAATGGTTCCCGTTGAAACAGTCCCTGATGAGGATAATGATGATGATGAGAATGATGAAACTGCAGAAGATGTGATTGCTGGCAATGTGGAAAAATTAAATTGTGATTCTGCTACGTCTAAACATGATGAACAGTTGCCATCAAAGGAAGGTTAGTGTTGTCAGGTATTTTTATAATCCTTTAAAAGCTAGTCTTCTAATTTAATTATAATGAATGTAAAAGTGTTCTGCTGCATTGCAAAATTGTCATGAATTATTTCTATTTTTGTCATGAGGTTTGAAAAATGATACAGAAGGATCACCTTATATCCACAAATAAAAACAGTTAAATACAAAGGTTCTGAAAACAGAATTACAGAACAAAATCAAAGAGAGACAAGTGAAATTGCTCACCCACATTAAAGACATCATACTTTTGAAAATTATATTGGAGAGAAACATTAAAGGTAAGCAAGGTAAGTAGTGATACAAATGGAAGAATAACGCCAAGAGATGGACCAACAGCAGTATCAGAGAGTGTACAGCCAGGACAGTCAATCAACATGTCCTTTACAGAACATCCCTCTCCTCATAGCAAGCCTGAATGTCTCATTTTTCTCTAGCCAACTCTCCAACCCTGTGTGCTTTCATAGGCAAATCATCTTCAGTGTCCTGTATCCACCTTTGTGAAAGTCTGTCAGCTTCTGCCATGTTTTCAGGAAACTTCCTCATTCATCACCGTATAACCAGGACAAAGGACAGTCTTCTGCTAGTGCCATGGTAACTGGAACTCTACGCCAACTGCTGTAGACAGGAGCTGAGTGTTTATGGGAATGTCCCCTTTGATGTGGTGTCAGATCCTAACTCAGCTCCATCCAGCTATCTTGCAAATTCATCTTGTTTTCTTTGATCCAAGTATTTAGTCTGTGGACTTCCCAATTACCCATGTAGAAATATCTAGATGTAATTATAAGGTGCTGTTGTTGCATTATGACCTCTGAAGAAGAATTATACTATCATGAATTGCTATGAAATCAAAATAGTGGTAATGGACCATGTAACATAATTGCACAGACACAAGTTAACCAATGTTTGTATTTTGTGTCAGTAAATCTATTGTCCAGATTCTACCTGCCCTTTTTCATTTCACATAGTCCCAAAATGCCAATCTTGTTATACATCGAGAATGATTGCTGTGATTTTAAACTATTATCTTCTTCTTCTTCTTCTTCGCGTTCACCAACTCTGGTGGAAAGTTCTGGTTGTTCATCCACTTTTGCACTGCAATTCGAAGGAGATGCTCCCAATTAGTGGACTCTTACGACAAGCTTTTAGGTAGGCAGTGGGTCTATTCTTGTTTTCCCCGGAACCCACATAGGGAAAACTGTTACTATAAAGGAAGCCTTTAATGAATATATGCTTGTGGCATCTTAAAATATCCAGAAAAGTTTAAAATTTCAAAATTACCTCAGTACACTTTGAGACACGCACTATTTGTAGTTCTGGTAATATCTAGTTGGTATTCGGCCTCCAGCGACATCTTCTGAATCATGTCCAGAGTTGAGTTGCAGTTTTGCAGCAACCCTCTATTTCAGGTGCTGGATGTCCTCAAATTCTCTCTCTGCATACATAAAGTATGTTTTTTAACATATCGTCACATAAACAAGTCAAGTGGTGTTAGGTCTAGGCTTCAAGGTAGTCAGGGTATTGGTCCACCAATTCCAGCTTTGGCATTTAGGAACCTGTTATTTAGGCCATCAAGAATAAGACCACTGAAATGAGAGTCTCTGTCCTGCATTAGAGTAATTCTACTCCCATTTTATTGTTCCCAGTCTTCATGTACTGTTGAAGCATGCCGAGGTACACATGTTCGGTAATTGTGTTTTCATTGAAGAAGAAGGGACCAACTACATGATCATGCAGCAGTCCACACAAGATGTTCACTTTAAGTGACCAGCAAACGTACTTATAAATCTGTCTCCGTGCTGTGAACCCCAGAATGCCATATTTAAGCTCATTAACATAAGGTCACATACTTCTTTTGTAACAGTCAGAATCTGATTTGATTTGAATTGATTTGATTCAAGAACCGACATTACAGCACTCGGGGCATTCCCATAAGCGCTCCATCCCCATCTTCAGTTCCAATACAATGGAGCCATTAGCATTCTGATTAAATGGCTGTCTTGCCTTTCCTCTGAGGCCCGAGCATCTGCCAGAACCTCCCGTGACTTACCCACCCCCCCCCCTCCCCCCTGCATCAATCTCACCAGACTGTGGTGATCCATCTGCTCCTCCGAACTGTACACGCTCTCCCACAAGGCACTAACCACGTCTGCCTTATCATGTATCAGTATTCCACCAAGTTGTGCAGAGCCAGCCAGTCTGTCCACCTGTTCATTTCTCAACACACCGGCGTGACCCCGTGAAAAAATCCAGACAATACTCCTCACTCGTGTCCTCCGCAGCGAAGCATGCCACTCTGCACGAAGCATACCTGTTCTGATCTTCCTCAGCATGCTTTTTGAATCAGTTACAATCAGGATGTGTGTGTTCTCTAGCCAGCGGAAAGCTGCAGTGACCGCCTCCACCTCCATTCTTAAGCTAGATGTTGTGGTATTCAGAATCTGATTTGTTGTTGGTATGGAACTCATAACATGCTTCATTGCTAAGATCTTCCCTCCTATCGTAAAACTCTCTGCAGTCTTCCATTTGATTATAACCTAATCATCTTCTTCTTATAGTCTATACTGTGTGAGTTGGTAGTCATGTCTATCCACAACCTTCTGTCTTGTGTACATTTAATCAGCTCTGACACAGATGATCCTCCATGCCATGATGTCAGACTGTCCAGTATTCTCTCTCTCTCTCTCTCTCTCTCTCTCTCTCTCTCTCTCTCTCTCTCTCTCTCTCTCTCTCTCTCTCTGCCTCTCTTCTCCTATAACTTGCACACCCTCACGATGTACTCCAGTTTTTTCTTTCTCATGACATGACCAAAAAAACTGGTTTGTCTCTTTCTGATGTAGGCAATCAGTTCTTTTCATGAGTTTGCTTCTTTCAAGACATCTTCAATGCTCTTTAAATCTGCCCAGCGTGTTTTCATCATTCGTCTATAAAACCACATCTCAGCTTCCACATAATTTGTCACTAATCATCCAACTGTCCATGACTTACTTTTATTTATCAGGAAATGTAATACTTGTGCAACTTCCCTGAGTAAATGTTTTTGTTTTTCAGAAAGATCTCTCAGACTGCACACACCAAAAAAAGTCATTCCAAGGCTGACCCGTGGGGCACAGAGGGAAGAATTTGCTAGCCTGCCAAAGATGAACCAGGTTTGCTTTTTGTTGAATATACACCATCAGATTTAAAGTTCTTTGTGAATTCAGAACAGTTTAAAGCAAGGATGTGTTTTATCACCTGTTCTTTTCATCTGATCTTCCCAACACAATTTTAGAAGGAGTTATAACAAAAACTTTTATAATAACAATAGCAGCAATAACAGTAAAAACATTGAGTCACTTAAATGAAGCAGCAACAGGAACAACAAAAATTGGAACAATGGGACTAGTTATTGCTCAAGATAAGACTGAATACATGGTAATAACAAGACAGAGAAAGGACACATATTCTAGCCACATGCAAATGTAAATATACAAACAATTCAACTACTTCAACAAACCAAGAGAAGAAATACAATATATAGTACAATCTGGAAATAAAGTATGCCCTACGTTTGCTAAAATCGTACGCTCTATCTCATAGCATCAAGATCACAGTATAAAGGACGCTGATCAGATCAGTTGTCTTATATGGCTCTGAAACCTGGAGCACAGCTAAAAAAAGATTAAGTGTATTTCAAATTTTTTGAAAACAGGGTCTTGCAACAAATCTTTGGATCCATCAAAAATACAAGCAGCGGGAAACGGAGAGTGAGAAGCAACAACAAAATTCATAATCTGTTTAAATGTCCATTGATCATTGGCATCATGAGGGCTAATAGACTGAAGTGGCTGGGGAGAATAGCAGATGACAGAAAAGCAAAAACTGTGTACACAAAGGAGTCAATGAGGTAGATCAAGAAGATGGGGGAGAGATCACATCCATCATACCTACAAACACTTGGGCAAATCAACTGGAAAGAGAGGGTAAGTCACAAGAGATGAATGGAGGCAAGTGATATCTGCAGAATGTTTTAAAAATATCATCACACAAACAAGTCCAGTGGTGTTAGGTCTATGCTTCAAGATGGCTAAAGTATAGGTCCGACCCTTCTTGCCCCGGCACTTGAGAACCTCTTATAAAGGACATCTTGAACAAGGCTACTAAAATTAGGAGGAGTTCTGTCCTGCTTTGAAGTAACTCTACTCCCTGTTGTTCACAGTCACCTGAAAAGGGCTCAGAAAGCTGAAGAAAAAGTTCATCAGTAATGTAAAAATACAAAAGGTAACAGGTAAAGTCGGGAAATATGAACCAGCATCATTGCAAACAGTTATAAACCATAAGTGCTCTGCCACCAGTACGGACAGCTGATAAGAAACTGTCCGCCTGTGTCGCTGTCAAAACGCAACTCTGTAGCTACAGCGACATTCCTCCATTTACCCCATAGTGTTAACTCTGGTACCCATTATCTAGAGGCTAGGTGAACCCTGGGAACTGTCTGGTTTCGAACACCGGCTGTGGGCTGCCGTGAGTTGCAGCTGGATTTGAAAGCCAGTCTCCTATCGACTGCGCTAACGAGGCCTCTAAATAACCAATAATGTGTTTTATCATATAATCTTGAAATCACCTACACTGAAACTACTGTGAAACAGCAACCCTTTTGAGATAATTAGTCATAAGACACACACACACACACATACACACACACACACATACACACACACACACAAAACATTCTGTAAAAAACAGCCCACAGTTTATCTGCAAGCTTTCTAGATAAGGAAGTAAAACAGGGTGAGATGAAGGGATGTATATTAAATGTCTTCATAATGTAATTTTTGGTAGTTCCTAAGACAGCACATACAAAATTAAGGTGTAAAAATTAAACAGGTCAGTCCCATTATAAGCTAGCCCTCCTCTTACAGCATAAGACAATCCCAATCAGCACAAAGAGACATCTTATTCAAAGCATATTTATTCCAACTCTGTGCTACCAGTGCCAGACATGGTCACTCACAACAAACCATAAAAGAAAATTAGTAACCACGGAAATGAGATGTCTGAGAAGGGCTGTAGGAGTGACCATAAGAGATAAGATCAGGAATGAGATCATAAGAGAACAAGTCGGCACAGAACCAATTCTGGATTACATACAAAGACAGCAAGTGAAATGGTTTTCCCACTTAGAGAGAATGCCTTGTGACACCATACCATGCAAAGCATACATGGAAAGAGAAGAAGGACGTAGAGCACGGGGTAGACCAAGAACAAGATGGAAGGATAACATCAGAGAAACTCTACAACATGTGTCTATGGTCGAGGCAGCCAGAAGAGCTAGAAACAGAACCTTATATCTCCCTCGACACCCACAGCGGTAAAAGAGGAAGTGAAGAAGAAGAAGAAGAAGAAGTCCCATTATATATGTGAGCAACACAGTGATTTTTGATTAAATATGGGACGCAGCAAGGCAAAAAAATGATTGACTGCAGAAATGAAACAAGCTAGCCCATCTAAATATGTAACACAATGAAAACAGGGTAAAGATGGGAAATAGATATAAATAAAAAAAAGTCCCATTATCCATAAATGGTTTTACTAGAATGGGTAACATCTTGATAAATAGAGACATTAGTGTCAACTCAAATGTTGGTAAATGTTAAATGAAATAGTAAGGAAACTGACAGCAGTGGATATGTGATATTTTAAAAGTGTATTGAGAATATCTGTGTTATATTTTCAGGTTCATTGCGTCCGGTTGTTTATTTACTTTCAGGTTCAATTCATCCAGTTGTGGCGTACACTGTATGACATATTTACAGATTTACCTGAGGAGCAGTACTTGTATCGAAGTCTGGCAACTGTTGGAACTCTTCTCTTACAGCTTGGAGAAATTGGAAAAAGACTGCCAGATACTAAGTTAAATAGGCCAGAGAAAACCGTGCCTGAGACAGTAGATACTAAAGTCTCCTCTGGCAGCACAGACAACAGAAAGGCAGACCCATCTGCAAGCAGCACTGATGATTGGTCAATTACCTTTGAGCAGTTGCTGGCATCAATACTAACAGAGCCACCATTGGTGGATTTCTTTGAAAGAATATATGACACAACTGATGCTGTTGCAGCCCTACGGAGTCAGCGCTTGGCAACTAAAGTACCTGCATCTACCAGCAAACAATAAATCTTGAATATATATTGTTGCCTAGTTACCAGCCATTCATTAATATGTGATGGTTATAATTGGTTACTGCTCAACGAAAGTGTTGCCACAGGCCTTGTGACATACCCACAAGTACTCTTTCTTCCTCTGTAGATGTAGATTAGTATAGAGATATTAAAGGGAGATATTAAACAAGAATAATTTGGGTATATTTTCCTAAGTGTTTAATATATTAATATAATTTGTCAATAAGGTATTTGTGTATGTAATTGTGCTGTCAAATTGGCTGTTGATAGAAGAATTATTTTGATGATGATATTATTGGGTAGTTAATAACCCTATCACCTTGGCTCCCAGGTCGACTCATCTTTGGGTGGGTACCGGGTGCAGTCCTGGGAAGTAAAGGCAGCCGGCGTAATGCTGACCACATCACCCATCTTGTGCCGGTTGGTCTATAAAAATATAGGTCTAGTCGTATATGCCCTATAGACCTAATAGAGTGAAAAGGGTCCTTTACTATTTTTTTCTTTTTTGTCAAAATCTGCTTGTGCCGCTAGGCGTCGCAGTCTATCAGATGATCGGCAACCGAGCCAGGGCGCGCTCAGTCGCTTCATATGCCGTGGTGTTATGAAGTCTCAAGTTGTCCGTGACTCCTTCAATCCATCTTCTTCTTGGTCTTCCCCTGCCTCTTGGTGTTTCGATTTTCATGTTGTATGCTCTTGATGCTGGCATCGTTGGTTCCATTCTCATTAGGTGACCAAACCATTTCATTCTTTGCTTCTCAATAAATTTAACGATGGGTATGGTTCCAAAAGTTCTTGTAATCACATCATTTCTCACTCGATCTCTTCTGGTTTTATTCGCAGTGATTCTCAAACATCTCATTTCACAAGTGGTTAGTCTTCTCTCGTGTTCTTTTGTTAATGTCCAAGTCTGACATTGATAACCTAATGTCGGTATAAAGATTGTATTTATAATTTGTCTTTTTATCTCAGCTGGGACAGCAGGGTGTTTTAAAATTGGGGCAAGCTGGTATGCGACATTGTTGGCTTCTTGCTTCGATCTCTCTGTCTATTTTACCATTGGATGTAAAGATACTTCCCAAGTATTTAAATTCTTGCACTTGTTTTAGGCTGTGATCTAGAATCTTTATGTCGATGGTCTGTTGCTCTCTACTTATGCTCATGACTTCTGTCTTTTCAGTATTGATCTTCATATGATGCTTGAGGCAACTGTCGTGTAGTTTACTTACTTTTTATCAGTCCTAAGGAAGGTATCATACATTTATAGGTTCCTTGTTAGAAGCCCAGTGAATGCAAGATGTGCCAGTTATATGTTTCTCTTTACAATCCTTGAGCCTCTGATACCTAACGCCATGAGATGGAAAGAGTCAATGTAACATGATGATGTTTGTCTTTTGTTACCAAAGAGAGCCATTTACTCATCTGTCAATCCCAGAGATTCTAGTGTGGCTGATTCAACCAGTGTTGCCACTTTTCTTTGACAGAAAACATCTAGAACCAGGTCAAAAATATCTAGATCTGGATGTAAAATATCCAAAGTGGCAATAATGGATTCAACCATTATGACTTTTCATAAAACAAAAGACAATCAAGTTTTTACTGGAGACAGCACTGCAGATATAATATATTTCAAGCCAATGAAAGAAGAAGAATGAATGTTAATACAGCACTCCTGTATGTGTGAGCAGAATCTATCGCTTGAAAGTTGTGAATGCAGTTTCATAATCAGTTTTTAAGTCAGCAGTAAACGATTTAATAGCAGACGGCTTCGTGTTGAGTTTGAGGTTTAACCCTTTGTTCCCAGAAATCCTTGGACGGAGAGATCTTCTTCTTCTTCCTTGTTCACCAGCTGTAAACTCCGATCGAAAGTCTTGGTTCGCTATCCATTTGGATTTTGGCTTTGTGCCGTAGCCTGAGTTTTGCGAGTACATACGTTTTACTAGCTAATTTGTGTGCAGTAGTTGTTCCATGCCGCTCGGGCAGATTCACTCCGACTTCAAAGAAAGCTCTCAGTTGACTCCTATAACATCTTGTAGGGGAGGCAGTGGGTCTGTTCTTATTTTCCCCACAATGGGGCCCTGAAACCCACACAAGGAGAAGAAAAGATCACAAAGCCAAGAATTCAAGGGGCCTGGATTACCATCAGTTTAAAAGAAATTAATTTTTTAAATTTATTTATACACATTTTTAAAATGTGTTTTTAAATACATGAAAGGGAGTAATCAGTAAATACGAACCAAGTGGAGAATTGAATGTAATATATTCCATTGGGTCTAACAGTTTTTTTAAAACTGTGATTAATACCGTTGCTTAGTTGCTATGCAACCACTAAAAGCTAAAGGCAAATTATAGATGATGATGTTATATTTTTAGTAAATATTATATCCTTCCCATCCGCCTGTGGGTTCCAGAGCCACACTATAAGAAAAACAAGAATAGACCCACTGCCTCCCTAACAAGAGTGTCATAAGAGTTGACTAATTCGAAGTTGGAATGCATCTGAATGCAAGAAACCAACAGTCTGCACACAAATAAGCCAGATCTGTAAAATGAATGTGCATACACTCAATCAATTTCTGGAACAAGAAGTTGATGAACAACCAGAACTGTTTGCCAGAGTTTACAGGCAGTGAATGCAAATAACCAAAGAAGACATGCGTCCCTCTAAAACATGCACAGGTGCCAACAGAACCACTGCCATTACTAGGCTTGTTAGGGACTGGCCAATGCTTTCACCTAAACCAAGTTCAGCATAGAATAATTTGTTAATAATTTTTTTTCTGCAATTCTAATATTTATAAATTATAATATGTTCTTGACTGTGACAATTAAAAAGTATGAACTTTCTGGCAGACCTTAAAAAAATAGGAAAGGTCTTAGCTAACTGGGAACCACTTGTTTGAAACAATGACTTGCAAGTCCTAAAGGTGACTTTCATTTTCTCTTATTGGCCGTTTTGATCATTATCATTAATTATTCATCCTTATGTGGGTTCCGTGCTTTCTTTATGGGGAAAACAAGAATAAACTCACGGTTTTCCCCAACAAGCATGTCGTAGGGTTCAGTAAAATAGGGGCTTCCTTTTAAGTGAGAGTTCTTCTGCCTGAGAGGCAAGGAAAGAGATAAGTCAGACTTATACAATAAATGTGCGTGCAGTACTCAGGTTCTGCAACAAGACTAAAGTCCAGAAGTGGATGAACAACCAGAACTTTCTGCCAGAGTTAGCAGCTGGTAAATATGAAGAAGAAGCAGAAGATTTTCTGTTTGTTCTTTGCTTTATTTTGTTTTTTATCTCCTTCAGTAGTTCAGTGTCTTTTACAGAGGTAATTGAAAATGTGAATGTATCAGTGTTTTGTTAGGTATGTCATTAAGAGCAACTTCTCTGTTAGCTAACTCCTCCCAGTTTTACAATATATAGTATTACCTATTCTTTTTCTGTATTACTGTTCAAAATATTGATTTTTGCTTAACTCTTTGAGTCCCAAGGAACGCATCATACATTCATAGATTCCTACCTAGAAGCCCAATGAACGCAAGGTGAGCCGATTTTACATCTCTCTTGACTACCCCTTGGGCCTGTGATGCTAAACCCACTGGGACTCAAAGAGTTAAAGGCCTGCTTTCGAATGTCGATTTTTTTGTCTTAAAATATTTATCGTTAATTTTGTTTTACCTGCATGCATTTTATATTATATCTGTTTTTTTAGTGGACTAATAAGAGGGCATATATAATGTTAGTACATTTTGTTTACAATATTCTAGCGTACATGTTGGGTTTTAAATAGTATTTGCTTTTAGTATAGACATTTGTACATCGATGGTTGTTTATTTTTCCAGTTTTTAATTATGTTGACATAATGGCTGCCTACATAATTCTGCAGTCCATAGTACAAAGCATAAATAAGTCATGTTTGAACCTATTATGCTGGTCGTAGTAGGTGACTGATTGGAATGGAGGGTTGGCATTGGGCTGGTCGTAGTAGGTGACTGATTGGAATGGAGGGTTGGCATTGGGCTGGTCGTAGTAGGTGACTGATTGGAATGGAGGGTTGGCATTGGGCTGGTCGTAGTAGGTGACTGATTGGAATGGAGGGTTGGCATTGGGCTGGTCGTAGTAGGTGACTGATTGGAATGGAGGGTTGGCATTGGGCTGGTTGTAGTAGGTGACTGATTGGAATGGAGGGTTGGCATTGGGCTGGTCGTAGTAGGTGACTGATTGGGATGGAAGGTTGGCATTGGGCTGGTTGTAGTAGGTGACTGATTGGAATGGAGGGTTGGCATTGGGCTGGTTGTAGTAGGTGGCTGATTGGAATGGAGGGTTGGCATTGGGCTGGTCGTAGTAGGTGACTGATTGGGATGGAGGGTTGGCATTGGGCTGGTCGTAGTAGGTGACTGATTGGAATGGAGGGTTGGCATTGGGCTGGTCGTAGTAGGTGACTGATTGGAATGGAGGGTTGGCATTGGGCTGGCTTGTTCTCCTTGAAAATTGTAGCATCAAAATAAAGTCAACCAGTTATCATTTGAACTAAAGAACTTCATCAGCATTTTGAGTCCTTGAGGTTCACTGTAGCATCTCCAATCATCTCTGTGACTGGTCTTCTCTTTCCAATTAGTTACTCCAAGTGTTTGTATGTCTGCCTGTATTTTATATCTCCATCATCTTCTTGGCCAGCCTCATGGCCTACTTCCACTCAGCTCTTGTGCATATAGAGTTTGTCTCTCTGTTATCTCAGTAATGCTAAATAATGACCAAGTTGGAATAAGACCATGTCTGGATTATATTGACAGACAAAGAATTAAATGGTTCGGCCTTCTAGTGAGAATGTAGCCAAACTGTATAAGAGATTTTTTAAAGCAGAACATTTGAGAGGAAGGGGAGAGAAAGACAAAAAAAAAAGAGATGGATAAAGGGTGTAGCTGAAACCCGCAAAAAGATGAGCAAATCCATCACCCATTCTAACCGAGATATGCAGGACAAATACAGAAAACTATGACACT